CATCATAAGCCATGTGTCACACTCTCCCAACTTATACATATTAGAATATTCTTAAGGAAATGTTAATAATACTAACAATGTGACATGAAAATATAATAAATTGTCCCTGCAAGAGAGGATAATTTACAAAATGATTAGAAAAGATCCACTTTGGGCCGGACTTTTTTGGTTCCGGTTATGGCTTGACTTCGACAATTTCTCAAGTTTTTTCGACCTCGATTAATGTGTCTACTTGAAATAATTAATTCCTACCAATAAATAATTACTAATGTCCTTTATAAAATAAACGAACCGAGATTAATTACTAGAACTGACTCGATTACTGAATAAAATTAACCGAATATATTCTTTCGACTTAAAAGTCAAACTTATAACTAATAGACTTAATAACTGGCTCGGAACTCACATCAAGCTTTATTAATAAAAGGAAAATAGTTCAAACTCGGAACTAATTATATCGCTTTTATTAATAACGGAACGGGACGTTACAATCTATCCTCCTTAAACTATTTCCGTCCTCGATAATATTAGAACTAAAAATATAACATCTGTTTGTCCCGTCCTCGATAATATTAAAACTAAAAATATAACATCTGTTTGTCCCATTTTAGGTCTTTTTGTTGGATTTTATTGGTTTTTGTAGGTTATTACATGTTTTGATCTATTTCAGTTTTCCATATGTTTTCCGTGTAGTTTTTCGGTTTTCTTTGTTTATGGTGTGTAGGTTGGAAGCCTCGGATGGATTGGATTTCAGGAAAAAGTTGACCGTGCAAGTGTAATTAAGTAGAGGATCTCGTTGGAAGGCACAGAAAAAAGCAGAATCAAATTCTGAGGCTAAACGAGTTCAAACGGGCCCGAGACGTGAATACGTGCATGGAAGCCCCAGGCCTGCCCGCGAACGTCGCGCTGTGCAGCTGCCGCAACTCCGTCAGAGAATCCCAGGTGTGCTCCGCGCCGTGACAGTGCCCTGCGCCGCGGCACTCCTCTGCTCCGCGCCGTGCCGAAAGTTCACACTTCGGTACAACACCCTCCTTCGCGCCGCGCTGCTGCCACAAAGCCGCCAGAGAGCACTTCATTCCTTGTCACGTTGTGCCTGTCTTCACGCCGTGGAAGACCCTCCTACCGCGCTGCTGCATGCCGTCACTCCGCGATACCAGTCTTCTTCACGCTGCTGCGCATAAGCACGTCGGGACAAGAAGCTCCTCCGCGTCGCGAGCCCTCTCCGCGCCGCGCACACCATCCCTCCATGCCACGCCAGAAGCTTCAAGCCGCGAAGCCGGTCCTTGCCACGCCGTGATGCCTTTCCTTGCCACGCCGCGAGTCTTCCCACGTCTTGAAGCAGCATCTCTCCGCGCCGCGGCGCCTGCTTGTTCCTCGCTCGCACAGATTTTTCACGCCGACTCACGTGCCTCTTATATATATTTTTCACGGGACATCGAAAAAAGATCATTCCCACCTTCCGGGGTGAAAAAACACGAACACTCTCTTTTTCTCTTTCCTTCTTCTTCTTCTTCTTCTCCAATTTTCTTCTTCTTTTCATCTTTATTTTCCAATTTTATTCTTCTTCTTCTTTACCACTATGGATTAAGCTTGTAATACGTATTCAACACTTGGATTGGGAATTATTCGTAAGTGTTTCTCTCTTTATTCATTCATGAAAAATGGTTAAATGATGTGAGAAGAATGATTATGTGTGTTGAATTTGATATTCGTAGCTAAATCTGATTGCTAGGGATATGGGATGATTGTTCTTGTTTATCGTGCATTTGTCGGGCTTGATTTGTTCATGCTTATGTGAGTTGAATTGATTAGGAATTGATGAAATTGTGCTTGATAGTTTGATATGATCGAAGGGTGACACTTCGAGCTTGTAGTTGGAAACAATTGGATATTGGGTTGTCGAGTTTGGTTTTATTGATTCCAATGATTAGTTGATTAATCACCTTCTAGTTAAATTAATGACTTTTTGAACCGAAAGGGGAAAAAGTCGTAGACCTAGGCTCGCATGAGGTAGATGATTTCGTAACTGAATAATCTATGTGTTTTAGATTAAAATACGTGCTTGTCGATGACCCGTCCCTTGTTACAAAAAGTTATTGGGATTAGGATAATTGCCATGTATTGTATGTGCGAACTTGTTTGTCTATGTTCAATCCCTTGTTACGAAAAGTTATTTGGACCGAACCGCTAGATGTTTAAGTGAGAGTGTCAATCTCGAACCGAACAATTGATTGCCTGGTTTTGCTAGAACTTGAATTAATTATCCCCGATTCCCTAGCTTCTCCATCTTTCTTTCGTTTATCTTCTTAGGTAGATTATTGCTTTTTATTATTTCTAGTTGATTATTATTCAAATCCCCTATTTGATTAGAGTGTTTAGGATTTATTTCCTTTTTATGTGTGATCGATACCAAAGTTGAATCCAGAACCGCTTTCCTCGTGAGATCGACTCGGGGAACGAATCTTTTGATTTGGTGCTCGGTAAAAATAAAAATTTGTGCTACAACAAATTTGGCGCCGTTGCCGGGGAAGGCAAGTAGGACATTTAGTTTTGTTATTGATTTTATTTTTTGTGTTTCTCTTTATTTTTGCATTTCTAGTGTTATTGTTCTTTCTCTGCATTTTTGTTTTTCTATTTTGTGTCTTTTTTTCCTTCTCGTGGCTACGTTTGTGTTGCTATGCTTTGGTGTGCAGGTATCATGAGCTACAATAGTGTTTACCCCTTACCGCACACCCAACCTTGGGTTAACGAGCCGAGCTACCACACCGGTACCACTTCCAGTCTTATCCATGCTCTTCCGAGCAGTACTGGACCCCTTCCCGGTCGAGCAACATTATGAGTCCCACAAGTTTAACGAGAAGCTCAACCAAATTCTTGATTTGATAGAGTCCAAATCAGCTCGAGAAGAAGAGACCGCCTACAATGCCAAACTCGCTCTCATCCTAGAACGATTGATGGCCCAAGCAAAATGAGAGGAGAAGATGGAGCTCAGATGTGCCTGTTTGAGCGAGCAAGTGGAGAATCTAGCAAGGCACATCGACTCTATCGAGTCCCAGGCTGATGAGCCCAAGGTTGTGGACCCCCATCCAGCACCCTTGCATTTCAATGAGCTAGGGGATGACTCTTCGGGCTACAATGCCAAGTTTGACCTTATCCTCGATTGGATGATGGCCCGAACAAACCGAGAAGGAGAGATTGAGCTCGTATGTGCTCGACTGAGCGCACAAATGGAGAGCCTCACTGCTCGTTTCGACTCTATAGAGGCACAAGTCGACGAACCCCACCTCATGCTTGATAGTCAAGCCCGCACGATGAAGCAAATGTGTGAAGCCGGAGAAGAAGATGATTAGCTCGAGCGAGACAGTGATTTTACTTCAGAGGAGAAGATCCACGGGCTTGATTCTCAAGTCTCTACTCCCATCTCTGAGTTGGAGCATCCATCTTCGAGGCCCTTACATTGTGTTACGAAGTGGGGTGGATTCAGTTCGACTTGCTCCACAGATGAGCTTATTATTCCAGAGGTTAATGCCAGAGCCCGTGTGGGAAAAGCTTTAGGTCGATTACTAGGGATTGCTCGAGCCTGAGCCCACTTTAAGAAGAGCATCGCCACTCGAATTCACTATGCCAGCCTTCTCGACAAGCTTCCCACACTGCCACTTCTCGAAAACACAAAGGCATGGCAAGACCGTCACTTTTTCCTAGATCTCGGTTGAGTTCCCCCACAGGTTTTGTCAAGCTAATGACGTTAAACAAGTGCTTCTTGGGAGGCAACCCAAGAAATTTATTGCTTTTCTAGATATTTTTTATTTTTGCTCTTCTAGTTTTATATTTTAATAATCGGAGGTTGGAGTTTTGTGGTTTTCTCGACAGGTACTGTTTGCGAGCTTGAGCAGGAGAAATAATGAGGTCCGAGGCTGAGCATAGGCGAGTGACTTGCACATGCATGCTATTTCTCCTCGAGGAATCTTTGGTTTGCACACCCTTTTTCCTTTTCATTTTATCTTTTTTGAGTTGTTATTTCCCTTGTCTTTTCTTTTGTGCTCCTGTGGTAGTTGTTGGGATTGGTTCATTATATGAGATTGTTAGGTCCTTTTATGTGACTTCCTATTTTATGTTGAAGCACTGAGGGCATTTCTTCATTTAAGTGTGGGGGAGTCGAATTTGATTTTGCATTCTTATGTGGTGGATCGGTCTAGTTTTAGTATTTCGTGTTATTGAGCATGTGATATTGGTGAATTATTTGAATTGTTGATGAATGTATGATGAAATTGGGAAGTTGTGATGATGAACGTGTGGTCATTGCCTCGGTATTTGCTTGATTGCTTTGAGTGACATTTATTTGCCTTGTGAGGTTTTGATCCTTACTCTTTTTCTTTTGAGATGTTGGTCATATTCTTGAATGATTAGAACTTGCCTTGAGTTTGGTTGAAAGGAATTGATTAGTTTAAAATTGCGAAAGTGATTGAGGCATTTTGTTGATTAGCTCTCTTTCTGCCTTGTTCTTTGGTCCTAAAATTTATTCCACTAGTAGCCCTTTGAGCTTAAAACCTTTTCTTGTCATCCTATTGACTGATTTGTGTGATGATTGGGGGATTGGTGGCATTTTTGAATATGGTGGATATTGAGTTGCGTTGTTATTTGCTTGACTAGTAAAAAAAAATAATAAAAATAATAATAAAAGAAATGAGAGCTCACAGGACGAATCGAATGGATTCTGCTCCTCTTACTAGCCAAATCATGTTGACGGGTAATGAGCATTTGGAAACTACTGTAGGACACTTGGATGACCTCCAATGTTCACATCTACAGAATGTTGTCCTTTTGATTCGATCTTGTTTGGAAAAAGTTACTCTCCGAATAAAAAATATATATATAAAAAAACAAAAAATTGGGTCAAGTGATGTTGCAATTCGATTAGAGCAGTGAGATGTTGTTTGTGGAGTTGTTTGGTGGATGGTGAATGTTGCTATATTGTTTATTCCAGATTGGTAGCGGAGAACTCGGGTAATTTATTTGCTCGAGAATTTTGTTATTTATTGGAGCTTCTTTTCTGGTATATATATATATATCTTTCCTTAAACACACATTACAACCCGTGAAGTCCTCTTGATTCGCATATTTTGAGCTTTGATTGTCTTCGAGTAATTTAAACGATTGGCAAGCATATGTTAAAACTTGAATATTGACCAATTTTGAGCGTACCTATCGCATATATATGTAAGAAAAATGAGTGAGGCTTATATTATGACCTATGCATTTGAGAGTTTGTCATTTCAAGGTCAAGCTGATATTTGAGGCATGTGGTCATACGGTCGTTGGAATTCGACTCGATTGAGTTGGGCAATTTGAGACTCTTCTTATTTGAAACTGCATGCTCGTGTCTTGTTTTCTTTTCTTTTTGTTTGGGACGAACAAAGATTTTAGTGTGGGGGAGTTGTTTGTTCCATTTTTGTTACATTTTTCGTGATTATTTTTCCTTTAATTTCTCCTCGTTTTAGGTCTTTTTGTTGGATTTTATTGGTTTTTGTAGTTTATTGCTTGTTTTGATCTATTTCGGTTTTCCATATGTTTTCCGTGTAGTTTTCCAGTTTTCTTTGTTTATGGTGTGTAGGTTGGAAGCCTCAGAAGGATTGGACTTCAGGAAAAAGTTGACCGTGCAAGTATAATTAAGTAGAGGATTTCGTTGGGAACACACAGGAAAAAGCAGAATCAAATTCTGAGGCTAAACGAGTTCAAACGGGCCCGAGACGTGAATACGTGTATGGAAGCCCCAGGCCTGCCCGCGAACGTCGCGGTGCACAGCTGCCGCAACTCCGTCAGAGAAGCCCAGGTTTGCTCCGCGCCGTGACAGTGCCCCGCACCGCGGCACTCCTCTACTCCGCGCCGTGCCGGAAGTTCACGCCGCGGTACAACGCCCTCCTTCGCAGCGTGACGGCATGCAGCGGCGCGGCAGGAGGGTCTTCCACGGCGTGAGGACAGGCGCGGCGCAACAAGGGATGAAGTGCTCTCTGACGGCTTTGTGGTAGCAGCGCGAGACTCTTCTTATTTGAAACCACATGCTCGTGTCTTGTTTTCTTTTCTTTTTGTTTGGGACGAACAAAGATTTTAGTGTTGGGGAGTTGTTTGTCCCATTTTTATTACATTTTTCGAGATTATTTTTCCTTTAATTTCCCCTCGTTTTAGGTCTTTTTTGTTGGATTTTATTGGTTTTGTAGTTTATTGCTTGTTTTGATCTATTTCCATATGTTTTCCGTGTAGTTTTCCGGTTCTCTTTGTTTATGGTGTGTAGGTTGGAAGCCTCAGAAGTGTAATAACCCAGTTTCGTGTTAATAAAAGCAACGTACTTTCTTTTATTAATCTCGCTCATTTTCAGCGTTTAAGTTAATAAGTTCGCCTTTAAGTCAAAAAGTCTATTCAGTTAATTATTAACGGAATCAAATTCAATAATTAATTTCCGAACCGTTTATTTTATAAACGGATATTATTAATCGGGATTGATTATTGAAAGTCAAGAACGTTCGGATTTAATTTCGAAGTTAAGATCAAAGCTAAGTCACGGATGCACGCATTACGCACGCACGCATGCCGTGCATAGCCGTGCGTGTATGTGTGCGCGCAACCGCCATATATGCACACGGTTAAGCCCCCTTAAGCGCGTGCTTATAGGCTCTTAAGCACTATGATCAAGCTAAGCAAATCTCGTTCCAAACTTTTAGTAATTGCCGTGAGGAATATTCAAAGAGATAAGTCATGGTGTGCAAGTTGTGTGGTGAGTCACCTACTAGCTTGCACACATGGCGCTACACGAGCTCACGGGTAATGACTAAGCCCGTTCATGCGTGACACCTCGGCAATGACTAAGCTAAATTCGTCCCACCTCAGCACTTGACCGAGACACATGTCGTCAAAAGAAGAAATCATCATCCATCACCTCTTTGACCTAGTTTCACCCTCAGTTTTTACCTCTCCAAAATAACCGTGCGTGTAAGTGTTTTTCATGCATTTTCTCCATGCAAAACCGAGACCAACTTCAGCGAACAGTAGAGGGAAAAATAGTGAGGAAAATATCACAGAGAAATTATAGAAAAATAGCTAAGAAAAGCCGAAGCCAAAGAGAAGCAAGTATATACTACGAACGCACCGTGCAAGCTCACGCAAGCCACCGTGCAATTCACGTCCGAACTGAAGGGTATATTCTTATTCACCCTCTTTTCATGAAATTAAGCCCTTGTTAGCAAGATCATGTCAATATCGTATTGTTCGGTCCATCTTTTTTTAGCAAAAACGGCCTCGGAGGTGCTATATAAGCCTCTCCGAGTGATTTCAAAAGTTAACGGGCAAGTCCCGAACAATTCACGTATATTTAGTCAAGTCAAGACATTTTATGATCA